ACATGGTGCACAATGACGATAATATCACTAACCTTCACTGTGTACCCAGTCACGATTACAGTATTGGATGATTCCTTTAAAGGAGTGTTAAAAACCTCGGAAACATGAGAACACGAATGCATAATCGAGTTAATCCATGAAACTGATGCTATGGTAATCCGCTTTTGTAAAATACATAGAAGAAGATGTTTTGTTTTTAGTTAGAAACAAATCAGCCAGGTGTGGCGATGGTGCATAGGCCTAATGACAACCTTGAAGAGTATCGGCCAAAACCAGTATCAAGTGAATCTATAGTCTTATTTCAAGAACAAAGTAAGGGAAGAGGCAAATATGAGACCTGGTAGGCTAACTTGATAAAGAAACAAAGTGACAATCATTAAAATTTTTATGCCAAGTAACTTCTCCTTAACTTCTGGCACATAACTTGACTAGAATCATATGATAATTACTCCTGTGTAACTTACAGGCAAGAGGAAAATAGTATTTAAATTTTTAACAAGGAAATAAAATATAAACAACATCAATTTCATTATTTGTTTGAAAAATTAAAAGTTACTAATTTGCAGGAAATGAAAAATTAGACATGCTTAAACACTGAACCTGATACTAATCCTGTTATGTACTTGGCAGAGCCATTTGTATGTAACAAGATGCCCATTTACCCTGTTTGCATTTAACTGTTAACTGAAAATCCAATTTGTCTACAAAGATTCCATCTGCCAAAAGTTGACAACAAAACAGTTTCGATAGATAAACTGAGACATGTTTACAAAGTGCCACTGATCAATGATGACCGCAGATCAATATGGTAACCCTTGTGACCTCGTGTCATGTAAAATGTTTCATCAAATGCATTTTAGGTTGAGATCAAAGTTATTAAAATTCTTTCTCTAGTCTGAATTCGCTACCAATTAATATACAATTTTTAAATTCAGTTACAAACATTGGTAACATGTTTGTATGATTTTTTGGTGGTGCCAGAAGGGGTTGGAGTCCTGCACTCTTTACTTGCAGTGGAAAACATTATACAAAATAATTTTTTTGAAACACTGACTGGATACATTAGAGAGAGCAATCTCTGTAAATATATTGTATAAAATGTCTACTGTAATAAACTACACTCTGGTTATGTAATTAAAACACCTCATTTCTTAGACACTATAGGCCTATTGCTTGCACATGACACAGAGTTGTAGTACATTGCACTATAAAATAGTATATATAAAAGACAAAGCACATTCAAAATGGGGTCTTTCTCTCTTGGTTCTTCAGTTTGTAAGGCAAGGGTGCAATTTTTTTTTCAATTGAAATATCTTTTTCTGATTCTTCTCTGTATTTTAATTGTGTATTTATCCACTTATTTATCCAGCTATATACACTTTACTGTGTTACCACACATTAACCATTCACACTTAGTTGAACTCCTTATAAAATTTACATGCAAAAAGCAGCACAGAGATGCAGCTTGTCCACGACTGAAAGTTAGTGACTAAAACAGCATTATTAGCCGATCACAAAAGTGAACTTTTCCTAATGTTTTCAGCTGCTTTTGGTGGATTGTACCAACATTTCTTTTGTACAAAGTACAATCTTTTTTTAAATAAAAAATGGACCAAAAGATATTTTTGCAGGGGTTAAAATTTTCAAGTTCGTAGTTAAGGAATTTGCAGATAATTTTAGTTGAGAATCACAGTCAACATTACATGTATAGTGTGGACATGAATAAGTGTACAGTAGACTGCGATGCTGTTTTGAGTAAAAGTTTGTTCCAGTATGCCAGTCATCCGTTGAACAACACAGGGGTTTAAGTTGGTCATCAAGAAATTTTTAGTAGTCTCACACAGCTATTAAGATCGAGTCCTGCTATGTTAAAATACTAGTGCTCAAAAGGATTACTTTAAATGGAGAATGTATTGCCCTCATACTATAGTTTAATGTTGATTACATCATAGGTTATTAAAATACACATTGACACAATTAGGGGTGGGAGCTTTGTTCAAGGTTTGTTGCATGTGCAGGAATTAACATGGTAGTGCAAGTAAGATAATAGTTCTTTATGGTGTAAAGACATGAATAAGAAGTGCTTCTGAAGCCATGTACTAACACATAACTGAATGAATGGCTTCTCACTATAATCCAGAACACAAGGATAAGCAAGATAACAGAAAGCTATCCAGTCTATCAAGGTAACCCCTCACCCATCAGAATCTAAATTAATATATTTCTTCACATCCATATACAAATTCATCAAAAGATTTTTAAAAATCTAAGCTAACTGCACCAACTAAACTCTTAGGAAAATTATATTCATAAATAGCAATATAAATTTTGTAAGTTCCATCTTTTTTTACAACTAACTAATAGGAAGGCACCAATATGAAATACATTGGCAAATAGGTTTAGTCTAACTGACTTAATACAAATGACAAAATTCAAAATGAATTCAAACCAATATCATACACAAAACATTCTCATTCCACAAATTTATTACTCTAACCAAAAGAAAACAGTATGTTTGAAAATCAGTGAAGTTAATAATAAAACAAAATGAATCAAACATTTTTTTAATCTACATTTACAATGGAAAATTACTTACGCCTGGGCTAACTTCAATATTATGCAAAGCACTATGTTTCACCAAAGTAAGTAACACTTTCTCACCAGTATTAGGTACACTGGCTATTTGCTGACTTATATCAGTTAAGAAATACAAAATACATGATACTTTTAAAATTATCAATCATAGTCCAAGAAAAATGATGCTATTATACTAATATACAAAAGACTGTAATGCATTTATGCTAACACAATATGTTTATATACTGAAAAGTAATGAAATTTTAGACATGTTTTTTATAATTTCAATAAACATAGTCATGTTACAACACCCAAATATCAGAAAAGGATATCATCTGGACTCCAAGCTACAGATCGAACAAAGGTACTCTGATCTGGATTATACTGGTTTACTAAGAAATAACTCGGTGCTTCCCAAATTTTCACCTCCTCTCCAGCTGAGGCCAATTTCATAGTCTTCATCTTAAAGAAACTGCTAATCTGAAAAAGTATAAAATAAATAATGTTATACAAAACATAGAAATATAAGATAGCAAATGCTAAGGTTATGTACACACAAGCTAAGTTTAAAGTTGTTTAGTTCTTCCAAACAACATTTTTGTAACTTGCTTATAACATTATTGTGAGAACACATGAAAAAAATGCAAAGTAGCTGGAGGCCAATCAGCTTTCAAGGTCACTTCTCCACTCACCAACACCAAAAATAAAGTAGAAGTAGTCCTTTATCTACATGTATATATCTATTCAACTCAAGTTTAAAACAAGTTAAACTATCAACACATGCCACATAATAATGCAAAACATTTCACAAAACTAAATCTAACCAAGAAAGAACAAGCCCTCATCTTACACCCACTGTCACTAATATTATAGCTTCCAATTTTAATCTTTATATTTTACCACTCCAACAGATCAAACAAATCAAGACTGTTCTAACTTTTAATTCAAACCACTCTAGCTCAAATCACCCACAGGAAGACTATCCAAACTCCTGAATCCAGTCACCACTAGTTCAAATCATCCATAGGAAGATTGCCCACAATCCTGAATCAAATCACCTCTAGCTGAGATTACTCACAGGAAGACTGTCAGAACTTCTGAATCAAATAACTACTAGATAAGGAGAACTGTCCCAACTTCTGAATCTGATTACCTTTAGTTGCTCTATGCTCAAAAAAGAAAAAACTAATATCTTTAGGCTTCTCTCCATAGTTACAATTCCATACTCTAAGATGATGTTTGAACAAAGCAAATACAACAAAGTATACAAATTATTTTATCATATGTATATTTATTTCTAGTTTTTACATGTTGTCATAATTGGCATTTGTTTTGGTAACATGTTCTGTACTTTGTTTTCCAAAATGTCAATTTTTTCTTTTGAAATTATGTCTGAAAAGGACTCTCTAAAACATTAATGGTCTCTTTCTTAGACAATTTTTTAAAAAAATCCCAGCTATCTTGTGTCTTCATTAGGCACATTATAAAAAAATCAACATTGGATGCAACTTTAATTTTACTTTGAAGTAACAGTAGTTTATATCTCAAAGTTGCAGTACCTCAGCTCAAAAAATGTTTATGGTACATGAGAAATTAACATTTTCCCACACTGAAAATGCATTTCCAATAAATACTTACCTCTTATCACAAATAGCTTTTCTCAACTTATACTGCCCTCTATGTGCAAAATGTTTTACTCATTACTAGCCTTAATACTCACCCTCATGTGTATTCACTTGAGACATCTGCAGCAACCTTCCACCAGTAGGAGTGCGACATAACTCCTAATGTCACAAGCACTCTCTTCTATGCAGCCTGTAATCACTTCGAGATTGGGCAGTACATACAAAACCAACACCAGAAGTGGTGAGGTCAAGTGAGAAAAGTGAGTGGAGGTAAGTATCTATCAGAAATACATTTTCAGTGTAGGAAAATGTTAACTTCCAATACAATATCTTATCTCTGCTCACAAATAATTAGAATCGTACACTGAGTTGGCAGAGGGTCCGGTAAGAAGGTGATACCCCTTTAGAAAGCACCCAAAGGAAGATCATGGGGGTGTGTAAATAAAGATAAGACAATATCCCCATGGGAAACTGCACCACTTCTGAGCCAGATATACTCTTCACCCACTTAGGAGGAACCCTCCATGGTCCACCACCCCAGCAGCTAGGAGCTGGTAAGTTACAAGGATTCCCATACTCCACTAAAAGGAAGGACCATCCCACATCATCATGCGTGCATGCACAACCAACACCATACCCCCCAGGAACTAACAACTGAGGGAGGGTAGGAAGGTAGGCAGCAAAATGGGAGGAGGGGTACATCTCCAATCCATCCAAAGTCAGTATTGAGAATGTATAATCCAATCCAGGGTAGAAGGAGGGTACCTGGCCACACACACACGTGATAAATTAAGGGACCTCAAGTGTACAGTGCCTAGGGCAGGTCGGACCATAACTGAAAGATAGACCTCAATCAACACCAGACGAACCGTGATAGGGATATCCGGCCCATGGTTGAAATAGGTTCCTTTACCTTTCACCTCAGATACAGAAACTGGTATAGAAGATGAGCCTCCATACCAAGAATCTGCATCATCATGTGCATACATCCAAAATAACCATCACCTTATCTGTTGTGAACAGAAATCCAGGGGATGGTAGGAAGATAGACAGCAAAGTGGGAGTGCATCTCCAGTCCATCACCAGGCACCATTGGAAATATATCATTCAGTCTGTGGTAGGAGGAGGGTACCTGGCCACACACATGAGGACTTATGTGGCTGGTCCAGCTCCAACCAACACTGTATCCACCAGGAACCAACAACTGAGAGATGGTAGGAAGGAGGGTGCCTCAGCCGGAGGGGTGAACTGCATGTTGACAGAGTGCATAATCCAACATCTGGAATTGTACATCAGGTCCACAGTAAGATGAGCATCAACATCATTTACACCAGCAGAACACCACCACCCTACTCTGTACTCAGTGGGATTGAGCACACTTAGGAGAAGCCTCCATGGTCCACCACCTCAGCAGTTAGGAACTGGTAAGTGACAAGGATTCCCATGCTCCACTAAAAGAAGGGGGACAGCGCAATGGAGTCCTGAGGAACACTGCACCGGAGACAGACCAATCAAGTGACCTACAAGACATGGAATATCAGGGATGGACAGCAATCCCCATCTGCTTTACTCATGTTAGTTCATAAGAGAAAGGTCATGGGATTAGGAGGGATTCCAAGGGAAAAACAAACAGAAATGGGAACCATGAAAGGAAGCAGTGCATACCACACAACAAAGGAGAACCCTAATGGGACAGTGGAGGTGAACAGGGTCAGAACAGTCATAAAGGTGTGACATGGAAGGAAGGGAGATGGGAGTGAAGGCAGAATTACACTTTCGAGTACCCGATGATTTGGGCAAGAAAGAACAATGAGGGAAAAGGATCACATAGTAACAGTAAAATGAGGTGGGGTGGACATCAACAGTGAACATGCCCTATCGACAATGTCTGCCTGCAAACAGGAGGAGGAAAAGGATCTGTAAGAAGAGGTGAGAGAAGGAACAGGTTATCAAATGATCAAACAGGGGAAGGGTGAGGGCATGGAGTATGACATTGAGGATCCAATCAGGGACAGAAACCCAACAACTGATGGCAAACCTCAGGAATATGAGAGGTCAGAACCAGTAAGGGAGAGGAAGGAGAAGGGTGAGACACAGAAACAGGTTCAGTAGGGGATGAGAGAAAAAGGAGGCCAAGGGGAAAAGGGAATTATGCAACAATGCAGACTCATCACCAGTCGGGAATACTGAGGCTGAGAAAAGGAAAACCGAAGTATTGGAGTCCAAACCCCACAAAGGGACAAGAGACTCAAATCACTGCAAGTTAAAATATGGAAACACAGAATGAAGATATGTCAAAGCATGTACGTCCATATTACAAAGGAGTCAAATCACATCTAGACACCCGAATGTAAATGGTTTTCAAATCGACCCATGTGAATTCCTATATTCGAGGAGAGAGGAAACACTAGATACTGTCTCACCAGCCTGTCACTGAGAAGTGCATGTGAGGAATCATAGGAAACAGGAGAAAAAAAAAACTATAACATACCTGATTGATTAAATTGACAAATGGAGAAGGAAGCCTGGGCACCTTCCCTGAAACAAAATGTGACTGAGGTATAGTCAGGAGGAGTAAACAGGCTGCCCAAATCCTCATCCCCATGTTCAGGCATACCTGCACCTGGTATGAGAGGAGAATCATCACGCGACACAGAATACTACATAAAGGTAGCCAACTCTCTTCGAACCACAGCCATTACTTTCTGAGCCAACAGTTGCAACATGGAATTGCAAAATCATGAAGAACAGATATGACCAGGAAAAAAAAGGAGAAATGAAACTCCAAAAGCAATTCCAAAACAGTGAAAACAAAAAAAAAAAAAAAAATGTTTGAAAAATGAGGCCTTGAATAATATTCAAAATTTGAAATGAAAACGACAGAACTATTCAATGAAAACAATCAGTAGGAGAGCACAAGCAAAAACACGTCCTAGCAGTATGACTGCCAACTGAGAAGAGTTTACAGACTGCACAGAAGAGAGGGTGTTAGTGATGATAGAAGGTGTGTCACACACCTATTGGTGGAAGGTTGCTGCATGATCATTTGCATGATAGCATGCAAATGTCTCATGTGAATACACATAAAGATAGGTGGTAGTATCAAGGTCAGTGGTGAGCAAAAATTTGCGCATATAGAGGGAAGTATAAATTGAGAAAAGCTATTTGTGAGAGGTGGTAAGATGTATCAGAAATTCATATTTTGTTCAAACACTTTTAATTTATTTAGTAATGACCATTCAACAGAACTTTCCCTAAAATTCTAAAAACAAAAGGAAATATTATAATAAGCATTTAAAAGTTGAACACACCTGCCAGTGACAATGTTTACAATAGGCTTTTTATATGAAACGTATATCCCAATTACTGAGAAATATGAAGCTATTAGGATAATCTGTATCAAAGATTTGTGAAATCTAGTTACTTCAAAAGCAATAAAACTACATATGAGTGAAACACTTCTGTAATTGATTTTGAACTCAAACCTAAAAAATGTTCCACTACAAAATGCAAGGAAAACAAGTCAAAAGTCCAGTGCACATTTTACATATATATTATTCTTATTTAAATATTTTACAGTTTAAATATGAATAATATATACATACTGATTAGATATGATTATTCAATGAGACACCCATCTTTTTTCAACTAGATTATTCAACTGTCTTAAATATTATTTCTGGCAATGGAACACATAGAAAACGTTTTTTCATGTAAAAACAAACTAATTATAATTCTACATGGCAATGAGTCACTCTTGATGATTGAAGTGAAATACTGCCAAACATATAGAGTTGCTTTTATTTTCTTTGTGTGTTTCATTGAACTTATGCACAAGTCTGCCACTACAAAAAT